AAGAAGGTTACACATGGGCTTATTCGGTATCTAAGCGCAATGGAGATAATTTTGTATAAAGAGCACAATGAATGTTTATAAATTACAATTATAAAACTAAAATTTATTCTATATATGTATATTGAATATAATATCATGATGGAAGTTTGTATTGAAATTCAATAGGAATATTTTTTCATTTTTTAATGCTTTGAAAGATAATATATGCCGGCAAAATGGACATTTTCACGGCTCAACAGAGATATTTCTCTTTACCTCTGTCTTTTTCTTGAATTTATTTTAAGTATACCAATCATTTCATTTCTACTTATTATCCAATTTACAGACAAATGATTCAGATTTCAGACATGGCATTACTTAGTGAATTTATGCATTAGATTCTATCTTTTCACAAAAATATGCAACTTACAAAACAACAAGCACATACCAAGAAAAATTGACTAGTGCTTCGGGTATTCAACTGTCATAGAGAACAATTGTCAATGCTGATTTTGTACATAACCTATGACTATTCGCATCATTTAAATTTGGCGGCGTCTTTGATGTGCAACATTAACATTTAACTCGTAGATAACTGATATGATGTGCTTTGTATTTTCTTAATCGTAGCAGTAGCACAAATTTACATCAACTTTAAAATGAAAGTGCAAATAGCTTTGTTCAGACAATTACTGTGCAATCAAAAAAAGAATATTTTACTAATAATAATAAATAAACAAAATAACAAACGTTACTGGCATGGACTTTAAATGCAATGTATTTTACAACATCATTTTTTTTGTAGTTTTTTAATGGTTTTTTTTTGTCATCTGTCGGCAAAAGCATGCCGATTTATCGTCCTAGCTCCAATTAATATTTAAACAGTCCCGTTTTTAGTCGTTCCGGAAAAATATTAACATAGTACAACAAGTGTATAATAATTAATTTAATAATGTAACTACTGGTTCATGTCTTGTCCACCTAACGGATTACTAGTATATTAAAAACAATAACATAGAGGGCCTTTACACAGGCATTTTATTGGATTACAAATAACATATGCTACTGTACGTCATAACATTCTATATGGAAAATAATAAATGTTATAGAATACAAATATAGTAATATTCATGTCCTAAAATCATTTGATTTACATTTTCCTAATCTAGGATCTGGGTCTTTATTTATGGTATATCGACATATATTAAGATAGGTAGAATCAATGAACTCCTTGGAAATAAGTCTTTGGTTTATGGGTAGTCCCAGTTTTTACACACTATACAATACATTAGGTGTCTTTTCCCCATTTTACCTAGTGTCTGTAAACTTGACAAGTATTTACAATGTACTCTTAGTCCTGAAAATATGTATGTTTTAAATTTTTCTTGTTTATGCAAATGTTTCTGATCGATCTGCTCCTTTCGAATCAAAATCAGACTGGTAGTTTACTTTTAACCTGTTACGTTTTGTGTTAATTTCTAATTCTGCTTTAGAAATGATTGACAGATGTACACATTAATTGTCTAAAATGTTGCTAATTATAACCTGCTTTTTATAATCAAACAATCGTGTATCCTTCGTTATCATAGATAATATTGAATAGAAATATTGAGATACAATTATTTTGTAAAGTGACGTGCTTCTGTATGCAGGAACCCTTTTCTCCTTTTCACATGTGTTAAACGCAAGTTTTTGTTTTGTTTTTTGTATGAAGATAATCTCGATTGTACATAATTTGTATAGAAGAAAATAATTTCTCCTTCCGTATATTGAGAATAGGATTCGTATGCACAATGACGTTCAATTTATAGTGTTACCATACTTACCGTCATTTCCTTTGTTATTTATCAACAGATGAAGCTTGCTAAAGCGAATCATGTTTTGATAAATTGTGTTGGTTTTGATCTATTTATCCTACATACTTTCTCTATGAATTATAAAGAAGATACAGTCATTCCTTAACTTTAATACGTATACTATAGCTAGCTATATTTTACATGACAACATGCCAATATTCCTGCAATTATATATAATTTGTGTGAACAAGAAAACCATTTATTTGTCAATGTAATGGATTGGACCTTTATTTGCGCAATGATGTAAAAAAGCAAGTACAATGCCGTTTATTGAATCACCATATTTTGTCTATGAATTATAAAGAAGACGTGGTTATTAGCCCGATACTTCAGTAGAGAATAATTCAATTATTAATCAGTCTACAGGATGTTCTGTCTGGCAAGGGAAGATGATAAGCTGGTAGCATAATCTGTTTACAGTAAGTCAGAGGAATATGTTTGTTTTTACTTTGTTTTTTACGCCGACTTTCAGGCATTCTTTTCCAATCCCGGCCAGTCCCAGTTATAATATATTTCTTAGAAAGTCCCTGGTAGTTCCGCATAATTGGTAGGATATACAATATCATTATGACATCCATTAATACCTTTACACTTCTATCTTAACATTTTATCACATGGGTTGGAATGTTTTCTTTGTTCTTTCTAACCCATTATGTTCAGTACACTTTCAATGAGGATTTGAAACTGTATTGATATATAACAGAGCAGGTTTGCCATTGAATCATATAGAGAAAAAACTTAACTGTAAATAACAGTTGAGGTGTTTTTGCAACCTTGTATATACAGTGTAGTTTTTTCACAGAGGCTCCAATGGGGAAGGGGTAACGAACATTCCCAGCGGAAAAAAAGATATGTAAATAATGATATAAACAAGGAATGAAATGAAATTCGTTCTCAAATATACTACTGCTTAAATTGAAAAGTACATCCGCTGAATGAATTAATTCCACTAAAAGCCCTTAAATCTTGATTCAACATTATTTTCTCAAAACGTCTCTAACATGAGATGTCTTTAAGTTTTCAAGGGTCGTAAATGTTGCTTTATTCTTTATTTATGACAGCGAAAACAAATAAAACAAATTCAAACAAATGCATTATCATTTTTAGCTGTAAGGTTGCTTACGACAGTATTAGCTGGTATTTCTTCATTTCATTTCATTTAAAACTACAGTGTTTTGTTTATTTTTTTCTGACGTCTGTTTCGAATAAAAATGAAATTGCGATACAACAGTTATGATATATTAAACTCGTTAGTTACGGGGGTATAACACAGGCTGGGGCGACATCTCGGGATGTTTCTGCAAAAGATTGTCTCGGCCTTACGGCCTCGCCATTTTTTTGCCAGTGTTATATCCTTGTAACTAACTCGTTTCATATACTATTATAACTATTATTTATCATTTAACTTTGTTGTCAAAATACAAACTATTATCCATTTCTAGAATTATTACATCTTATTGTACCAGTTACGTATAAATGACAAAAACCTTAATAAATATGGTGAAAATGAAAGAAAGTCGAGCAATTAACATTAGATTTAAGTTACTCATATTCACAATGATCAAAAGAAATTAAAAAAGTTGTAATAAATAATGAGTTACAGTCAATTATACGTTTTTCTGAAATGGATATATATTTCTCATATTATTAATTGACAAAATGTATATTTCCCAAGAGTGTAACGGTATTTATAAAAGCAAAAAAGGCAATTTATATTGAACTTCTTGAACAAATTTGCCAGGGCTGCAATTATATTGCCAAATGTATAGTTTTTACCAAATTATATACTTTCATATCAACTGTTTTAAATGAAAGCAGACGACACCGTGTAATTTAATGTGAGCGTTACCCTTCAGATAATCATACACGCCATTTCGAAGAATGTTTTTAAGATATTTTTATTGGTGATTGTTCGATTCTGCAGAATTTATTTATTCAACAAATAAAAAGTAATATTTAAAAAGTAGAGACACAAGGAGGAAAATGCACAATGAGTGCAATCATAGAGGAAATTTATAGAGCTCATAAAAGCACAAAAAGAAAACTCATAATGGCTAAGAAACGAAATCATTAAGGTACCAGGAAACAAGACGATCTTTAAAAAAAGATACTCGGCCGAAGTAAAACTGGCGAACATGCAAAATTATGTTTTTCTAAGTTTTCAAAACAAAAAGAAATGTTAGCATGCCTTGCATAACAATGATATAATAATCTTTCTTTTAGCTAAGAAATTACATATCGATATTGATGATTTTTCAAAGTAGGACAACTTCTATTTTTAGGTGTCCCTTTTTTCTTTTACGTTTGAATTTATAAATTTTGTAATCATTTACAATTTACCTAAAAGTAAAAGAACTATTCTCATTCCATAACATTTCATTTAAGAACTATCCTTTACATATTATTTTATACTGGCAAAAAGTATCACTTACATTTTTAGAGCTATCCCTAAAATTTTATTTTAGATGGTAAGAACTATCCTTTACATTTTATTTTAGAATGACCAATGAGATTTCACCAATTAGTTTGTAATTTTAAAATGACAATTGAAAATTCTTCGTATATTCAGTCCTTCCCTGTTAATTTTACAGGACGTCAAACTGATAAGAAACCGACTTCGTCCGAAAATCATAGCGGCACATTAGGGAAAACCATAGAAACACAAGGAGAAAAATCAGTGAACCACATGGCAGAAAATCATGGAGGCACACCAAGGGAAATCATAAAGACAAATGTGTAAAAACGGATACGAATAGAAATAATACGCTTCTAGCTTATTCTCATTTGAAATAGAGTGAAATAGAATCCTTCAAGAAAGCCCAATAACGACAAAATTGAAATTGCTGCAGCCTCGTTTGATTGAACCTGTTCATGTACGATACTGGAAAGTGCAAGTTACCGCCCTTGTCCCTGGCACCGGTTTAAGCAGAATTCAACATTTAAACTTGGTGATGGTGGAATTTAGAAGTTTGAAACATCCGCATCTGTGTTTATACGGCTGTTATCATGGAACCGTCAAGGAGACACGTGAGTGCCATTCCATGCAAAGAGGTGATGGTCCCCAATTGAAAGAACATGTACATTGCATATGTACAGAATCCATTACAAATATGTACACAATATATTATTTGGTACTATATAATAAAGCAGGACAAGTAAAAGTGATTTAATTGCGATAAATAGCTTTTTATTGAAAGAACACAATTTATTATCTCATTTTAAAAGCAGTAAATAGCATTCGATTATGTCATGCTCTACAACTTAGACGATTTTAATTGATTATAAATTGTTTGCATCGGTGAAATCCCTTCCTCTTGGCAAGGCTCGAAATATGGCTCAATTTGCGCTTTAACTCTGTCTGCCCATGCGCGGACTTTTGGATTAAACCTATATTCATTCTCATCACCAATGATATCAAGCTGCATAAGTTCACAAAACGCTTGCAAGTCCGCGACAGAAATTTCTTTTCCACCAATATATGGTTCGTCTTTCAGAAAGTATTTGTCTATATGGTTGATCGATTTCTTTAGTTCCGTCTTGAAACGTTTAACCTCGTCTTCTTTTATAGGTTTTCCTCTCAGCGTATTGATGAACTAAAATATAAATAAAGAATAATTTCAGTACTCATATATCTAAAATTGTATTTTATGATGCAAGTTAGCAATTTCTTTTATATAATGATGATAATAATAAAATAAAAGTAACATTAATACTAATTTCAATAAAAATGATAAAAAAGTAATAACCATAATGGTAATTATAGTAAATGTAATAATACTGATAAAGAAAATAATAACAATTATTTCATCATCATCATAATAATAATAATAATAATAATAATAATGATAATAATAGTAATAATAATAATAATAATTATTATTATTATTATTATTATTATTATTATGATGATGATGATGATGATGATGGGTTAATGGTGATAATGATGGTAAATAACAAAAGCAACAAATATGAAATACCAACTCAAAAGTGATTCAGTTATACGAACTTAAACAATTTCTTATCTGAGATAATTAAAAACTCGTAGGTTAGCTGGGTTGGTTTATTAAACAAATTAAACAAATTGTCTGTCTAGACAAATGCAATTGTGAGGCTTACTTGAAAAAGGTGTTTCATCAGGCACTATAACTACTGTGTCGCAGACTATAAAATTCTAATTATCTCACAAATAAGATAAATTAAAAGACCGATACTAAGATAAATGTCGTTTGGACGCAAATTCTGACGAACACATTTAACGGTTTGGTTAGAAGGCAATTTGCAAAATGTAATTTACAATAGGTAAGAAAACCTCATTTTCTGAGATACCTAGACATATCTCATTTGAGATATTATAAGAAGGAAACAACATTTCACCGTCAATAACTGACACTCTGATGTCTGCTTTTCACAAATATTTTTTGTACAGAAAAGTTATGTTGTGGGTCAAAATACATTTTTTATGTTAGATTCAGTAAAAATGTCCACATCAGTTGGATCATACAAGACTTGATGTATTGAAAGCTGTATTATAAAATACCTTCTGTCGTTGTTCTTTCTAACATAGCAAGAGAAAAAGCTCGCCTTTCAACTTAAACTAGGTCATGGAAAACTTTGACAACAATCTAAATTATACATATAATGGTTATGGGATTTAAAAGAAAAAAAGATGAAAACAGGCGCTTTAACTGCTGAACCATTATTTTATTAACAAAGCAAACAACTTCTAAACGCCATCATTCATGTGGAAACCCCCTCAGCTTTCTTTAATTTATTTATGCGAGAAAGGAAACAAAACAGTCGAAGTCGTGTATCATTACAAAGCAAGTATGTAGGAGTTTCTTTGATTATAAATGCTTATGTATAATTCGTCACTTTAGTGAAGTAATAGGTTATAACTCTTTTTAAATTATATAAGGAGTTAACCCGTTACTGCACTAAGTTGATGATATAAGTAAACCATTAAATGCCTCCAGATGAGTAAAAATAATTGAAACAAATAAGCTAAGATATATTTATAGTTTTAAAGTTAAAGAAATGTATGTATTCACTAGTTAGGGGAAACTGGAAGTATTAAACAGGATTTACTACTTTCATCACCGAAATTCTACCCCTTTACAAGCCGTTACTGTTATATGTAATTTATGTGATAAATGGATCTCTAATGCTAGGCTAAATTACAATTTTTGTACAACTAACAACACTTTTACGTAATGCAAATTTTAAAATTTACATAAAAATATCACAAATCTGGAGGTATGTCGTTTTGAAGTGTAAATGTACTTCACCTGATGTCTAAATGACATCATCGCAGTTGTTCGAATGTTAGTGTGATGCCAGTTAAGATATTCATCTATCCGCCCTTGTCGTTCCAGGTCCTTTGACGGATACCAGTGTTCGGCTACATTGAATTTACGGGCAAGATAGCGAAAGATTGCACCACTGAAATAACCAAATATGAAACTATCTTTAAAAAAGTGAAGGAAGGAGAAAATGTACATCATGTACATGGAAATAATTTGTTTTGAATCAAATTAAGACAAGAGCGTTTATAAGCAATTATCTTTTAGAATTAAGTAACATTTTTGTAGTAACATGTTGAGGTTGTTTTCTGTTGTTGTTTTTTAATATATAGGCATGATATCTAATTTCTATGAATGAATACGGAATAAATGTCAAAGAGAATTGAAAAATAGAAAATATACTGTTTTAATTTGCATATACAAGTATCCCAGACCATTTTAAATAAATCAAATTTCAAGTTTGATCTAAATGCTTCTGCAAAAGGAACAAATACATAGATTTTCCTAATTTTGTAAGAAATAATTCAAGTTCACCACATTTTATAAAAACACGTACTCCTGTAAATGTAGAGCATTATACAAGATGACTGTTAAAAAGTCACTGTTTATACTTGTATTTGTTGTTGTTATTGTTGAAGCAGCAGCATTTATTTACTCATATAAATATAATTTAATAAAAACAATACTGTATATTTGTTTGTACATTCTTGTATCCAAGAAGGTTTAGAAGAATATACGTAAAATTGTTTGTGAATATCTTAAAAAGACAATTAGTCGAAACGTTGAAATACAATATTAACATTTTTAAAAATACATTTAAAACGAATTGACATATACTAAAATTTTGACGGAGATTTCTTTCACTTAGACTCTGTATATGTTTATACTTTTGGGGAAAATTATTCATTTTCTAAATGAAATTAAAAATTGAATGGTTAGATTTTTCATTACTTCTAGACCCAACTAAAGAAATGAAATATTTTCATGAGTCATTGTTTCCCCATTCGTAAAAAAGACGAATAAAATCACATGCCGAGATTATTATCACTATCATCATTATGTTGATGGAGATCATCATATATATTTTAAGTTATCTACTTATGATGGGCATAACAAAATGTTTTGTTTTTTTGTTGGTTTTTGTTGTTGTTGTTGTTGTTGTTTTTATAATATAAACATTTGCCTATGAAATTACGCGATGCATACGTTTGGAAGACCGTTCAAATTAACCAATAGACTCAAAATATTTAGTTGAATCGATAAGAATGGAAAATAATGACCATTAAACCTGCACAAAATAATTAAACCATTATACGTAGGCCATCTAAATCATTGCTAATCTTAGATGATTATGAAAAAGTTAAACCAATAAATATTATCCTGTTTGTTTAATAAAATAATGTGCTAAAATATGCTCAGTTTGTCATTTACTTGCTTATATATTAAATTTGTCAGTCTCGGGTCCATCGTTTCTACCAGAGGAGATTGCAAACTTTCGACCTGGGGTAATGCATATTTCGAGAAAAGTTATCCCAACATATAAAAAGTTATCGCGATATATAAAGAGGTTATCGGAATATTTAAAGAAGTTATCGCGAAATTAAGAAGTTATCGCAATTTATGAGGAATTTATCGCAATTTATAAAGAAGATAACATTAATAATTCTCACAGATATACTCATGATGCAACTTTAGACATAGAAACATAAAGAGATATTATTGCAGAACAGAGCTGAACATAATTTTATTTTTAAATATGTACAGAGTACATAATCATGCAAGGTGATTCAAAATATTAATCAATATATAATATATTTACATTAAAAACTTGTGATATATTAGTAATTTATTTTTAATACAATGTCACGTTAATGTCTATATGCCATTATTTCAAATGTGATTTGAAATTAATATAAAAAAGCATGTTGTATTTGTTTGTCTTTAAATTGTTGATTTACAATAAAGGCCATAAAATAAAAATGTCATTATGATGATCTATTTTAATTGTTTTTAGAATATATTTACAATTGTGAAACTTTTTAAATCTTAATGTGCTATAAAACATTTTACTTTTTTTCAGAATGGTTTCATTCTGACTTCATAATAAAAGGTTTCATTCTGACTTCATAATAAACAGAAATCGTTGGGCAATGGGAAAACAGTGTAAATTGTAAACATTTTCGGATCTATGAAAAATGTTCACAAGTAGAACTGATTTCTTTGAAATGATTCGACTTCTTCAAAAAATAAAAGATGTTGTTTTAACATTTTTCATTTATTTAACCTTTTAGTTAAGAATAAAAATATATAGCCAATAAATGAAAAGAGTAATGATCAATATGAATTAAATGCAGCTTATGCCCTAAGTAAAGTTATACGACTGCGGGTCATCCTGGTATGAACCAGAACCATACAAAGTTTCACTGTGGCATTATCTAATGTAAATAATAAACCATGTAGCATAATGCTCCTAAATTGTTACCTTTCTCCGAGAACAAATCCATTATCTTCGATAACAGGTACTCGCTGAATTGGGCTAATTTTTGTGAATTCTTCCTGCAAGTGTTCACCTTAAATATAAGATAATGTAAAGATTATGAAGTTCAAATAATACAAATATAAGCTCTAGCGAAAAAAAAAACACTGTATTGACGATAAAAAATATTTTTATGATAAACGCATCTGCTGAATATTTTCAAAAGGATTCGTTTTTCGTGTAAGTTAACTTAAAGGTTAAAATCTAGATCGGGCCTCTTTGTCACAAATTTAACTAATACATTTTAACTGGTTAATCTTAAAAAGAAACACTCTATGTAATCATTAATAAAATGTATTTAACTGATATCTCAAGAAGAACAAATTTTCTTTTCTTTTTAAATCTAAACAGATTTAGATAAAAACAAATATAATTGGGTTTACCTGATCCAAGGTCTATTCTCACCATTTGGAATGGAATATTGTTCATTTTCATAAACAAGTACACCGCCCTGCATGGCTGTGATTTTAGATCCGCAAATAATTTTATAGGTGCCATTTCACTTTGGTTAAAACAATAACAATAGTCGTACAATTACATATACATTTAACATAAATCACGGTATAGATTATGACCCGTCCTAATATTTAAACCTTGTGTATATAACTTAAGTTAAACACGGCATATTTTGTTCATATAACCCCGATTATCTTCCGTTTATCATCCATATAGTTTTATTTGTTTACACGAGTAGTCTTTCTAAATGTACAAATATAATGGTTCTGATACAAAGACAAATAAATATCTTCTTTTTTCATTATGTTTTCAATTTATGAGGATATGCACTTTAGGTCGCCTCATTTGATTTCTTCCAGAACAAGTTATCGTAACTGTGGAAACGACAATCTTACCACTGGTGATATTACAAACCCACGACCTCTGGATAAATGGCCAGACGCTCAACCCATACACTTACAGTCGTCCACGACGTACATTATGTACATAAAAATTCAAAAGATGCAGGCTTCTAAAATATACGATTAAGAATTACACTATATATTAAACATGCTTATAATTACTGCTATCTGTATTATTTAATTTCTTAATGCCATCTGAATTAAATATGAGGAATTTGTCAATTATGATTAATGAAATGAAATTTATTCTCAAATATACAACAGCTTAAATTGAAAAATGAATTATTTCAACTAAAAAGCCCTTAAATCTTGATTCAACATTACTTTCTCAATACGTCTTTAACATTAGATGTCTTTAAGGTTTTCAAGGGTCGTAAATGTTGCTTTATTCTTTATTTCTGACAGCGAAAATAACTTCAAACAAATGCATTATTATTTTTAGCTGTAAGGATGCTAACGACAACATTAGCTGGTATTTGTTCATTTCATTTCTTTTAGAACTACAGTTTTTTGCTGATTTTTGTTTCGCAAAAAAAATTGAAAATGCGATACAACAGTAATGATTAATGAAACTCGTTAGTAACGGGGGTATAACACAGGCTGGGCGATATCTCGTCGTGATGTTTCTACAAAAAAATCATCTCGGCCTCACGGTTTCGTCTTTTTTTTGCCAGTGTTATATCCTCGTAACTAACTCGTTTCATATACCACTGTAACTATTACTTAGTTACTATTACTGTTGTCAAAATGCAAACTATCATCCATGTCTAAGATTATTACATCTGATTGCACCAATTAAGTATAAATGGCAAAAACCTTAATACATAATTATAGTGAAAATTAAAGAAAGTCGAACAATTAACATTAAACTTAAATTACTCATATTCACATTGATCAAATGAAATTAAAAAGGTTCTATTAAAATAATGATCATGAATAACAGTCAATTATACGTTTTCCTGAAATGGATAGCTACTTTTCATATTAATTGATTAAAATGTATATTTCCTAGAAGTGTAACGGTATTTATGAAAGGCAATTTATATTGAACTACTAGAACAGACTGCAATTATATTGCCAATGTATGGTTTAAACCAAATTATATCTATCATATCATATATTTAATATGAAAGCAGACGACACCGTGTAAATTAATGTGAACATTATCCTTCAGATAATCATACACCTCATTTTGAAGAATGTTTTAATATTTAACATATTTTTATTAATGACTGTTCGTTGTTGCAGAATTTATTTACTTTAAGATAATCAACAAATAGAAAAAAAATATTTTAGAAAGTAGAGAAAAAAGGAAGAAAATAATAGAGGCATAAGGATCGCAATCATAGAGGAACATTATAGAGGCATAAAGAGAAAACTCATAAAAGCACAAAGAGCAACTCATAAACGGCACAAGAACGAAAGTCATTAAGATACAAGGAAAAAATTATTAGGGAAAACTGTATAAACAATAAAAGGAGAAAATACATAGAAGCACATGGCAGAAAATCAAAGGGCAGAAAATCATAGAGGCACATGAAGGGAAATCATAAAGACACATGTGTAAAAAAATCGGATACGAATAGAAATAATACACTATAGCTTATTCTCATTTAAAATAGAGTGAAATAGAATCCCCCAAGAAAGCTCAATAACAATAGATTAAATATGTTGCAGCCTCGGTTTGATTGAGCCTGTTCATTGACGATACTGGAAAGTGCAAGTTACCACCCATGCCCCCTGGCACCGGCTTAAGCAGAATTCACCTATTAAACTTGGTTATGGTAAAATTTAGATTTTGGAAACGTCCGCATCTGTGTCCATGCGGCGGTTATCATGAAACTGTCAATGAGACACGTGAGTGCCATTCCATGCAAAGAGGCATATGGTCCCCAATTGAAAGAACATGCACATTGCATATATACTTAATCCATTACAAATATGTACACATCATATTATTTTGATACAATATAATATTGAACAGGGCAAGTAAAAGTAATTTAATTGCGGATAAATTGCTTTTTTACACTCTTTATTAAGCAGTAAATAGCATTCGATCATGTAATCTTTACAACTTTGACGATTTTAATTGATTATAATATGTTTGCATCGGTGAAATCCCTTCCTCTTGGCAACGATCGAAATACGGCTCAATTTTGCCTTTAACTCTGTCTGCCCATGCGCGGACTTTTGGATTAAACCTATAGTCGTTCTCTTCACCAATGATATCAAGCTGCATAAGTTCACAAAACGCTTGCAAGTCCGCGACAGAAATTTCTTTTCCACCAATGTATGGTTCGTCTTTCAGAAAGTATTTGTCTATAATGTTGATCGATTTCTTAAGTTCCGTCTTGAAACGTTTAACCTCGTCTTCTTTGATAGGTTTTCCTTTTAGCGTATTGATGAACTAAAATATAAATAAAGAATAATTTCAGTACTCATATATCTAAAATTGTATTTTATGATGCAAGTTAGCAATTTCTTTTTATATCGATGATAATGATAAAATAAATGTAACATTAAAAATAATTTCAATAAAAAATGATAAAAAATAATAATCATAGAGGTATTTAGAGTAAATGTAATGCGTAAATGTAAAATTTTAAAAAAATGATAAGGAAATAAAAACGATAATTTCATCATCATCATCATCATCACCATCACCATCACCACCATCACCACCACCACCACAATTATCTTCATAATCATCATCATAATCATCATCATCATCATCATCATTATTATTATTATTATTATTGTTACTATTATTATTATTATTATTATTATTATTATTATTATTATTATTATTACAATGATGATGGGTTGATGGGGATAGTTGTAAATAACAAAAGCAACAACAACAAATTTACTTTATGTTCTAACCATATGAAATACCAACTGAAAAGCGATTCAGTTATACGAACTTAAACAATTTCTTATCTGAGATAATTAAAAACTTGTAGGTTAGCTGGGTTGCTTATATGATCAAACTTAAAGTGGTAAATTAAACAAATTGTCGGTCTAGACAAATGCAATTTTAAGGCTTACTTGAAAAAATGTGTATTATCAGGCACTATTACAACTGTGTCACAGACTATAAAATCCTAATTAGCTCTCATATAAGATAAACAAGATATGTTTGTAAAACATGTATGCCCCCTATCAGCAGCCAATTTGTCATGTGATCAGGTGATTATGCATGACTTATGACACAGTGAAAAAGCAATTAATAAGGGTTATCTAGTATCTACTGGTCATGACTAGTCACAAGGTAATAATTATTGTGACCCCATAGGTTGTGTGCAGCAATTAAAGTTATTAAAAATCTTACCAAATAATATATACATAAATTTTATGAATCACATAGGCCTCATTAATGACAGCCAAGTTGTTATATTACATAAGACCTTCAAATGTGTATACCAAAAGCACATAAAAATATCAACCAAGGCAACTTGAGTTGTTGAGTTATTGGTCAGAAACGGTCATTAAGTACAAGGTCACTATGACATGGACCTTTGACCCAAAAATAAATAGGGGTCATCTGCTGGTCATGACCAATCATCATACCAAGTTTGAAATTCCTAGGCCTAAGCGTTCTTTATTTATTGATCAGAAACCGTTTTTACATACAAGGTCAATGTGACCTTGACCTTCCCCCTAATATCAATAGGGGTCATCTGCTGGTCATGACCAATCATCATACCAAGTTTGAAGTACCTAGGCCTAAGCGTTCTTTAGTTATTTATCGGAAACGGTTTTTACCTAAAAGGTCAATGTGACCTTAACCTTTGACCCCAAAATCAATAAGGGTCATCTGCTGGTCATGACCAATCACCATAACAAGTTTGAAGTTCCTAGGCCTACGGACTCTTTAGTTATTGATCGGAAACCGTTTTTACTTACAAGGTCAATGTGACCTTGACCTTTGACCCCTTGACCCCAAAATCAATAGGGGTCATTTACTGGTCATGACCAATCACCATATCAAGTTTGAAGTTCCTAGGCCTAAGGGTTCTTTAGTTATTGATCGGAAACCGTTTTTACTTACAAGGTCAATGTGACCTTGACCTTTGACCCCTTGACCCCAAAATCAATAGGGATCATTTGCTGGTCATGACCAATCACCATATCAAGTTTAAAGTTCCTAGGCCTAAGAGTTCTTTAGTTATTGATCTGAAACCGTTTTTACTTACAAGGTCAATGTGACCTTGACCTTTGACCCCTTGACCCCAAAATCAATAGGGGTCATCTACTGGTCATGACCAATCACCATACCAAGGTTGAAGTTCCTAGGCCTAAGGGTTCTTTAGTTATCACTCGAAAACCATTTGGTCTACGGACCGACGGACCGACAAGTGCAAGCCAATATACCCCCTCTTCTTCGAAGTGGGGGCATAATTAAAAAACCGAAACTAGGATAAATCTCGTTTGGACGCAAATTCTGACGAACACATTTAACGGTTTGATTAGAATGCAATTTGCAAAATCTACATTATAATAGGTTAGAAAACATCATTTTCTGAGATACCTAGACATATCTCATTTGGGATAATATTAGAAAGAAATAACATATCTTTGACAATTATTGACACACTGGTGTCTACCTTTTACAAAATAATTCTACTTAGAAAAGTAAAGTTGTGCGTTTAAAAGATACAATTTTTTGTTAGGTTCAGTATAAAAGTCCACATCAGTTGGATTAAACACGCCTTGATATATATAAAGCTGTATTAA